TGCGTATGTGTGGAAGTATATGTGGAGAAAGGTTCAATGTGACCGCAGCTTAAGTGCATGTGAATGGTTTCTCTCCAGTGTGGATCCTCATGTGTTTATTAAAGTTTGATGATTGGCTGAAACTCTTCCCACAGTGAGTGCATGTGAATGGTTTCTCTCCAGTGTGGATCCTCATGTGTTTATTAAAGTTTGATGATTGGCTGAAACTCTTCCCACAGTAAGTGCATGTGAATGGTTTCTCTCCAGTGTGGATCCTCATGTGATGATTAAAGTGTGCTAATTGGCTGAAACTATTCCCACACTGAGTGCAAGTAAATGGTTTCTCTCCAGTGTGGATACTTATGTGTTGATTAAGGTGTGATGAGCAGCTGAAACTCTTTCCACACTGAGTGCATGTGAATGGTTTCTCTCCAGTGTGGATCCTCATGTGAATCTTAAGAATGTATTTTCTTCCAAAACTCTTTCCACACTGAGTGCAGGTGAAACAATTATTGTCTCTCCTTTTAAAATCAGTCTGTAAATGAGTTTTGTCCTCAATTTTGACATGATGTTCCTCCTCTTTACTCCTCTCCTTCTCTTCAATTAGGTCTGAAATAAATAAAAAAAATATTAGTTTTCATTAAGTCTTAAAAACTCTCATCAAAAGCTGAAAAGTTAAAAGACACTGGAAACGTTCAAGGTGACAGAAGTTACCCTTCGTTCCCCAAGGAGGGGAACGGAAGTGCTATAAGTGGATTTGATCTTGGGAAAATCCTCGAAATGGGAGGATTCGGTTCAGAAGCCGCTTGTCTGAAAGTGTATTGAACGGGCCAATGAAAGCAATGAATTGGCAGCGTAAGCTTGCGCAGGTGTGCTTCATTGCCAATTATCCCAGCATATAAGCACACCTGGAGCGAGCAAACGCCATCCTTTTAAGCTGAAGAGACTTTCTAACAGCTAAGGGACAGTCATTATGGCGACGGAGTATAGCACTTCCGTTCCCCTCCTCGGGAACGAAGTTTTACTTCTGTAACCTCGAATGTTCCCCTGCGGTTGGGGAACTTCAGTGCTATACAGTGGATTTGATCTTTGGGAAAATCCACGTATGGGAGAACTATGAAAAACGCCATAATGACTGCACCTTACCAATGCCCCCGATGAGGGGATAGTCAAGGAAGCGGGACGCACCCACATCATGGGAGGCGCGGCCTTCCAACGTGTCCCTGGCCCTAATTTATCTCCCTTCAACAGAAGTTTTACGGATTTAGATATATTTTTTGGGAAGTCGCGTGCGTCTAGATGATTCTAGGAAAATACGACAGTACGTTGGGAAGCGTGCAATCCCGATAGGGAGGATGCTGCGGAGGCCATCCGCTACCCAAGGGGGGAGATAAAATGGCAGAATTACATATGGACTAGCCCTAAGAAGGGGGAGTGTGCATAGACAAAGAGGTTAGCGGAGAGGGAAGACATGGGTCCACCCAGAGCAGACACCTATACCCAAGATGCAGGCTGACCAGCGGGCAGACCAACAACGTAGTGGGCCAGCAAGTGACTCCTCTGCTGAGTCAGTGCTGGGGTCCACGGAGGAATCTGCAGGGCTCACCTGACGGGGAACTTTACTGACAGATAAAAGGGCACACGTATCTACGTGTTAGGGACAATGGCGCAGCAAGCGTGTTTCAACACCCTACTGAGTTGTTTCCTCAATCACCAAAGGGTTGCCTAATACCCTTGAGGAAACCGGCTCCACTCGCAGATTGTAAAACCTTGCAAATGTGTTGGGTGTCGCCCAGCCCGCAGCTCTACAAATGTCTGTTAGAGAGGCACCACGTGCACAAGCCCAAGAGGATGCAACGCGCCAAGTGGAGTGTGCACGCACTCCCGGGGGACACGGCTCACCTCTGCTCGAATAAGCGAGTGAAATGGCATAAAATACAGTGGGATAATCTTTGTTTCGATACGGCACTTCCCTGCTGCCGACCGCCATAACAGACAAAGAGCTGCTCAGATGATCTAAAGTGCTGAGTACGGTCCACATAAATGTGCAGCGCGTGAACTGGACACAGTAAGGAAAGGGCTGGGTCTGCCTCCTCCGGGGGCAGCGCTTGCAGGTTCACTACCTGATCTCTAAAGGGGGTGGTAGAAACCTTGGGCACATAACCCGGGCGGGGTCTCAGGATAACGTGAGAGTAATCCGGCCCGAATTCCAGGCACGAGTCACTGACCGAAAATGCCTCCAGGTCCTCGACCCTCTTGATGGAGGCCAACGCGACCAGCAGAGCTGTCTTCAGTGACAGAAATCTTAGAGATATTGAATCGAGTGGCTCAAAGGGATCTGCGCGTAAACTTGTGAGAACGAGGGCGAGATCCCAAAAGGGCATGAGAGGGGGCGGGATGGATTAATTCGCCTAGCACCACTGAGGAACCGGATGATGAGGTTGTGCTTTCCCACGGTGCCGCCAGCTACCGTGTTATGATAAGCGGAGATGGCTGCCACGTAAACCTTGAGAGTGGAGGGCGACAGCCTGCTGTCCAGCTTCTCTTGGAGAAAAGAGAGCACAACACTGATCTGGCAATTTCTGAGGTTTTCTCTGCGAGAGACACACCATGTAGTGAATAGACTTCGATTCAGGGCGTAGGGGCACCTCATGGAGGGGGCACTAGCCTGAGTGATGGTATTAACCACGGCACTCGGTAGGTTACCCAAGTCTTCCTCACGTCTAGGGACTACACGTGGAGGTTCCAAAGATCAGGGCGAGGGTGCCAGATGGTGCCCTGTCGGCTAACGGCTGCCTGCTTTCGAGTTGTACGGCGCGCCCGGGGGCGGGGCAGCACTCGTTGGCGGGCGCCCTCGGCGAGGAACAGCGGAGGTGGATGGCTCGGCGGGCGGAGCGGGCTTACGACCGCGCCGACAGATGACATTACCCATCGCATCCGACTGCTCTTTCACCGCCTTGAATTCCTGGGTGAATTCACCGACGGTGTCGCCGAACAGGCCAGCCTGGGATATGGGCGAGTCAAGAAAGCGAACTTTGTCAACATTGCGCATATCGGCCAGGTCTAGCCAGAGGTGGCGTTCCTGAACCACAAGTGTAAACATCGTCCATCCCCAGTGCACACGCGGCGGACTTAGTAGTCCGAAGAGCATAGTCGGTTGTGGTGCGCAGCTCATGTAGTAAGCCTGGGTTAGACCCGCCCTCGTGCAGCTCGGCTAGCGCCTGCGCTTGGTAGCGCTGGTAGGTGGCCATCGCGTGCAAGGCGGAAGCAGCCTGGCCCGCAGCCTTATAAGCTCTGGCTCCGAGGGAGGCAGACAACCTACAGGCTTTGGACAGGAGACGGGGCGGACCCCGCCACGTAGGGGCGCCACGCGGACAAAGATTGACTGTGATAGCGCGTTCCACTGACGGGATCGCCTCATACCCCCTGGCAGCTCCGCCGTCAAGGGCGGTGAGGGCGGAGGGACACGCAGCATGGGCTGAGAAAGTTACCCTCCAAGACTGCGTGAGCCTACTGTGCACTTCCGGGAAGAAGGGGACCAGAGGCTTCGAAGGCTTCGCCTTCTGGTCCTCCACGTAGCACCCATCTAGTCGGTCCGGCCGTGGAGATGGGGGATGAACCAGCTCCAACCCCACGGCCGAAGCAGCCCGGGAAACCACGGCTAACATGTCCGCTTCAGGATCCATTTTGACGGCGCTCACCTGCCCGGAGGCGATCTTAGCTTGGCAACGGTCATGGCATAGCAGTGACGACATGAACTGCCCGCGAGCACCACATTAACATGCTGGACCCCTAAACATGTAATGCAGTGATCGTGTCCATCATCCGGAGCCAGGAAACCCCGGCAACCAGAAACGCACAGTCGGAGCGCCATCCTGAAAAGGACGTGCTGCATGACTGTGTTGCTCTTTTAAGAAAGTTTGCAACAATACGCACCGCTCTGGAGGACCGGACCCAGCTCGACCGTCTGCCGCCGCGAAAACCCACTCTGGAACGGGAGACACTCGTTCGCTCTGAAGTCGCTGAACCAGCAAGAGGAACCCTCATCGACTCGATCAGAAAATCTCTGAAGCGAAAAGGATGGCGTTTGCTCGCTCCAGGTGTGCTTATATCCTGGGATAATTGGCAATGAAGCACACCTGCACAAGCTTACGCTGCCAATTCATTGCTTTCATTGGCCCGTTCAATACTCTTTCAGACAATCGGCTTTTGAACCGAATCCTCCCATACGTGGATTTTCCCAAGATCAAATGCACTTATAGCACTGGGGGTAACAGCTAAACAAACTGCTGAATATTTGCCTCGCAGACATGAGACATACCTGTACAGCATCTACATAAAGGCTGGAATGTGCACCTTTCCCCCCTTGTGTGCTGTTGGGTTCATCCATTCTGGGGTGATTTTAAGGCTTAATTTGGCCAAAACTTTCTGTGTTTCAGCAAAAGGACTGATATTTGGGGACATCTTATTTTGGACATATATTGGGAAAATGCTTTGAAAAAAAAAACTCAGTACACTCTGTATATTGCAAAGCCATGACCGCAAATAATCATGCATTTATGATTGTTGGTGTTTTCTGTGATGACAGTCAACATTGTTTAATTGGTCTCCACCCATGGGACGGCAGAAAGGAAATGGGTGAGAGTATAAAGGAAGAGGAGAGTTGAAGAGGGCAGCATTATGTGGTGTTTGGAAGAAAGTGTGCTGTCCTGAAATCATTAGCATTTTTTTTTTCATTTGAATTATAAGTGCTGAAAGTTTTGTATGGAAGTTTTTTCCTAACAAAATTAAAATGAAAATTCAAATGCTTAAAAGATCAAATGATAAATCAAATACTTAAGCTATAAATCAAATCCTCAAACTGACATCGCAAATGATAAATCCTCAAACTGACATCGTAAATGGTGAATCAAAATGCTCAAACTATAAATCAAATCCTTAAACCGACATCGCAAATGGTGAATCAAATGCTCAAACAACTCCGCAAATGGTGAATCAAATCCTTAAACGACTCCGCAAATGGTGAATCAAATCCTCAAACAGACATCGCAAATGATAAATCAAATGCAATTGAGGTGTCAATCAACCAGCATAGGCGGAGCTTTAAGGCGGAAGAGTTTGTTGTTGACAACTACCGGTAGCTCTATGACTTTTTCAAGGAGTTCAGATTTGGGTGCTGTTTTTGCTCCTAGCTTGAAGTAATCAATCACAGAACAATACTTTGATAATTTTATTATAGCATTTTATAAATGAAATCCAAA